AAGTTACTATTGTCATGTCTAAATTGAAACTATCTGATTATCATATCAAACAAATTTCATGAAGTTACGATTATCTTCCTTAAATTTTCGATGACTTTTTTTTTATGAATAGGCTATATATGATATTAACAAATAACACACACACACACACAACAAGACCATACAGATCACCTGACGGCTGAGTAATTCTTGAAAACAACACGTATTCACGGAGAAATTAGCAGAAAACGATTTCACCTAATTCTACCTCCGCCATATTGGGATCGTGGTAATTGCAGGTAATTGCAGTTACCACGATTGTAAATTGGAGATCAAGATTAAAAGTCTGATTTAAAGAATAGCATAAATAGGAGGGAACTTTGTGAAATCTTGTTCCCCCAATTCATTTCTATAAATTTCTATGAATAAAAGTAGATATGAGGTATAAATCAATGAGATGCAGCAACTTAACACATACAGAAACCAAAAAGACATTCAGAGGGCAACATACGGTCTTTAATATGTTAGTATTTGACAACAGATAAGGATATAGTTATGGAATGTTACATATACTCTTAGGCCTATATTAATATCAAATCAGTGTCAAATTCAATTTCAAATATTTCATTTGACCAATCAATGAACCACTGGGGATTATAAAATAATGCCGAGTCATAATTCCAGACTGCAAACTCATATGTTGCAATAAATGGCAAGGCTTGTCTAGCAGGAAAACAGCAATATAGATAAGGAGAAGTGGTATATAGGTTTAAGGATTGCCAGTGAGACAACTATCAACCAAAGACATAAAAGGGATGTTTTAAAACATCTAAAGGACAATGTATGACCGTCAACAATATGATGCAACGTCCTTATATATAGTAAAGTAAGCTAAATTGTTAAGAGTTTAGACAATAAACATTTGAATATAAATGACCCCGACATGACAAAATGTGAAACAATTCAAAATAGAAAACCAAAGATCTGATTTATGCTTAAGTAACAAGTAAAATAAAAACAATTAAAAACCAATTGTTCAGAGAACAATTGAAGGTCTTTCCACTTCTTACGATGTATTTTGATACGAAAATATTAAAAATCGGTTAAAAATGTCATTTCCAGTGTCAAATGATAGCTCATTGTTTGCTGATTCCAAAAATATATGGTTTCTATACAATTTTGTTTGAAATAAGGGAGGTAATTTGTTACTTCCGGTCTAAAAAAATATCACTTCCGGTATTATTTGATTATTTATTTGACACTGCTTTCAAAAATATATTGTTATGTATACTTTTACATGCAATAAGTACAAAAAATGGACACTTCCGGTTTACACAAGGTCACTTCCGGTTTGCTTTTTCAAGGTCACATGGCTTGGTACCTAATGCACAAAGTCCTTTGACTTTATTATGTATAAATATGAATTTAAAGCAAAGGTCAAAATCTAGACTGTCAAACTTATCTATGACCTTGACCTCAATTTCAAGGTCATAAACCAAGGACCTCAAATCAAAAGACCCTATGTCTTTAATATGCATAGTTAATGAGTTACCACATGTCGCAAATGACAAATTAATAAAAAATATATTGTCAATATCTTGTACGGTTTATGAAAAGAAGTGAGAATAAGTCAAATTCAAAATTTAGAATTTGACCTTGACCTTTGACCTTGACCTAATTTTCTTTTTTTAGGACCAAGGACCTCATATCCAAAGACCCTAGGTCCCTAACACTTTTAGTTTTCCATTTACAAATGCAAATTACTTATATCAAATGCATAAGGGGAAATAACTCTCATATGGCGTCTCCGGATAGCTTCGGTTCAAATGATACCCTTAATCCTGAAGATATAACGAGCAATTTGGTAAAATAAATTTGTCGTAATCTTTTACTGTTGCGAAGGAGTAGTGGACACAAGAAAAGAGACATCTTGCCAAACAACAATACTGCGCAAGAACAAAAATTAGGCGGAAGAAAAAAAATAATAAACAGAACAAAAGCAATAGGTCTTTCCACGGAAAAGTGGAAAGACCTAAATATGTCAGTCAGCAACAAACAACAAGCACATCAATAATGTGGCGGATGTTAACATGTTGATGAACGCTCAACTCGAGCCCGCTGCAACCGGGGACAGTGGTTTAACAGTGCAACATAAGAAGTAACAATAAAAACCATTTGACTCATCAATTTGACATTTAGCACATAAAATCTAACTGTTAGTATAATAGTCCCAGATAAAATCCATAACAAAAAGTAGAAAGCACACAAGGTACCAATCTAAGAGTACTCGTGGTTACTGTTGGAATGCTAGTTCAAAGACAATTCCGACTAATGAATATATATATAAAGCATGTTTCCCAAGGATAAAATAGCACGCCTATAAAGAGTTAAAACCCTAACTGAAAATACAAAGTTGACCAAACAGTGAACTCCCCGACCAGGAGAGAGGAATTGAATGATAGTGCAAAGAGATTACAATATTGCAACAGACAAACTATAATTGTACTGCAACAAACATCAAACAATGATACACACGTATAAGCAATTATATAGAGTATTATGGATTCTACCATTCCATCCATTGATTACGAGATAGTTGAATTTCAAACTTATAAATGCATGCGAGGTTTACCGAGCATTTTAAGATTTTAAAATGTAACTATCGAGAGTGGATAATAACAAAAACGATACTGTTTTACTGCACCAGATGCGCATTCCGAATAATAAATGTCTCTTCAAAATTCAAGATCTCTGCTTGAGGTCAAAATGTTTGAAAATACAAAACCTTATACAAACGGTGAAGAGCTGACGAATCCAAAAAAGGACAAAACGTGTAGCCAAACCCGTACAAGGTATCAGAGATATGCACGAGGGAGATACATTCCTTGATTTAGAATAATTTCCAAAATTTTATTTCGTCAAATTTGAATAAAACAAAAATACGTATTTTCATGACAGTGCCAAAGTATTGGCCACTGGGCTTGTGATACGCTCGGAGACTAACAGTCCACTAGCAGAGGTATAGAAAAAGGGATTCAAAATTAACGGTACCTATCAATTTTACTACTACAGATGCGCATTTGAACAATTAATGTTATCTTCAGTGATGCTAGAGGTCAAAATATTTCAAAATGCAAAACCTAATTCAATCTTTTAACAGATAAAACCAAAGGTGACCAAAAGTAAAGCGGAGCTATGCACGAAGGAGATACGTGTTTTTTTTAGCTATACATGAGACACTAAGGTACCCATAATTCCGCGGCCTTTTAGTCAATATCGATCATACTGATACGTTGAAAGTTGGTCAACGTTACATTTATGGTGCTGTCGATAAAAAATATTCCTGGGCGATGGGGCGGCTATTTTCTTTATTTGATCAAGCTTGGTTTTTACACTATTTAAAAAAATAACTATTTGAAAATAACAGGCCAACAAGCTTCGGGTTACAAATGAAGTATGTTAAGTGACATTTTAACGAAAAATGTATATACCATCTATAAAGCACTAGTATATATCTTTAGCACATCTTTGAACATTTTAAATTGAATACTTATTTAAATACGATCAATATTTTGGCCTTTTCCTGGAGATTAATAAGCGTAAAATTGAGAGCTTGAGTGAAAAATGAAAAATTATAAGTCACGTAAATTTATTATTTAAAAATCATATTTCCAGGGGGTAGCGCTCCTGAAATTAAGATATTAGAAGACCATATTTGGACAAACAAAAAACCTATATATTCCATTTTTATCTTATTTTAGGAGGGCGGGGGTAGCGCTCCTGAGATTAAGATATTTGATGACCATATCTTAACATAAAAAAAAGCCTATAGATTCCATTTTTTTCTTATTTTTTGACAAAAAAAAACTATACATTCCATTTTTTTATTATTTTTGGAGGGCGCTCGCCGAGTGCACCCCGTTTGAATCCGCGCCTGCCGCTATACATATGTGTATTCATGTCCGTCTATACCTACAAATAACATAAATCCCGTTAGTATAATAGTCCCACATAGAAGGCTGGCCCTGGATTCTGTTTTTTGCAAAAATGAGACAGTCCAATTTTTACCATCCCTCCGGCTCTTCAAAGGTGAGATAAAAATAAATCGTCTGTTTAATTTATATAACAACATTTTTTTTTAATTCAAGGTCTCTGTTGTATTTGCAATGAATTTATTATGTCCCAGCAATGATGTTTAATTAATTGTTAAAAAATAACTTAATTTATAACGAAAGACCTTATTTTTTGATCAAATTATTCCCATCCCCGTTATATTATACAATTGTTCTCAATAATAAAACTAGTTATATATATCGACATCGTGTATAAATCTCAGGTATTCTGTAGATTAATTCTTATTGTATCTATTTTTATTACTTTCTAAAAATAGGTGCAAACAAAAATGTGTCGTCTGTTCATATCTCGCTCATATTAATGTAAAGAACTAAAGTTAATAGTAAAAAGGACCTTATAAAAAAAATATCCTTAGCTTCAAATACCTTGCGCGTGTCAAATGTTTGCAGATATGCAAATATTCATGACGTCACCAAATTTAGTCGATCTACATGCGTTCAACCTATAAACAATCAAGAAATCATCCATTACTTTGAAAAAGAAGAAGCTTCAAATTAACTGGTATTCCCACTTTCTTAATTAAGTATTTTTTAAAGCAAGTTTAGAAAAATTTGTCCAACAAACTAATTATTTCACCAGTTGTATCAAAGAACAGAAAACATTTGTTTTCGATGTAGTTTTCATTTATTGATAAATATGTATCAAAACATGTCAGTTTTCACTGATACAGTAGTGAGTAGATTTTAGTGAATTGTTGAATAAAGAAAGATATGATTAAAATTCTGATTACATAACATTAAAGAAGAGGTTTACAGCTTTCCAATGATACCCAACAAGTGCTATTTTTGATTACTTACATGTGAGAAAAGCGCGTGCAAATTAGCGAAAATTTGTCAGGGTTTTGAGTTGGAATATTATTGACGATTAATTCTCCCTGCCCGATCCATTATCATTTACAACAAACCACCATATTTAAAACTCGCACTGTTTGTTTGCCGACAATCCTTTGTCTAGTTTTGTCGTGAATTAGGGTGAAAATTAACAAAATTAAGGTAGGTAGCATAACAAATTTATCTTTGTGGACAATTTTATGCAAATTAGGAAGGTTATTTACATGACTTTTGGTGTAATTTAGGGATAAAGTAAATTTTCTTCAGATGATAAATATAACATCTCATTTCTAAGTCTATCGAGTGTGTAAGTTGTATGGAAGCCATTTTTGATGAATTAAATTGTTAGGGTTGTGAATTTTTACTGACATTGAAACATTTGATGCATATTTTTTGAAATGCTGCATTTGAAAGATTTCTGAAGCTGATTTCATAAGATTTACAGAAATGAAAACATTGATTTTTATATGAATTAGAGATGGTCTTTTCTTTTTCTTTAAAAGAAAATGAAATATCTGGAATAGTATTTTTCTTAATGAATTTTTGATAATCCAACAATATTTATTGGAAAATAAGTGCCACTTATAATCTGGTATGTAATATTATTCTTCAGAACAGCTCTTGGTAAATTCAGTTATATGTCTTAGTTGATGTATCTCTGTTTTCATTTTGTTTGTGATGTAGGCGATTAAAAATATGGCATAGCTTCATTCTGGATGAAACATGAAAAAATATAAGACCATAATTAACCATTATAGACATGAACATTTTTAATGTCTACTAATAATTCTTTGTAAACTGTTCATTTCCCTTTGACTTATGTCTGTAGATGTTTATATCTGTCTTTCAAAAATCAAAATGAAAAATTGACTGCTATATTGTAATATTTTTGTTGAAAAGCTATATGCATGTTCAATATTTTGACTGAAAACAATACCAAACTGCTTCATCACAATAATACTAAAAAGTTTATTTGTCAACGACATATGCACATGAGACCAAGTATTTCTAATTTTATTTTTCTCCTTTCTATCACGTCTATTTTTGTGATTAAAAATGTTCATAAAATTTTCTTTCAATCCTACAATAACTAGTTTATATGTGCTACCCCTGTATTTGATTAATATAGATCTACAGGGCAGCACAAACAGGTATAAACTATAGTTATTGTCTTTGCCAAAGAATCTGTGATCAACAGTGCTAAAGAATATGATGGGACACATTCCAATGCTGAAGTCCCTTTAACAAGTTACTGTGGATTCATTTATTTTTCATGGGTAACAATTTTTGTGGATTGAGGAAAAGTTGTATTTTCGTGGAGGTTAGATTTCATAGTTTTTCAAAAGTCTGCATACAGCAGAAAATTTTTACTTTGTTGAACACATAAATTCGTGGTTCACCTTTATTCAAGAAAATTGGTATCCCACGATTAATACTGAATCCACAGTATATTAAAAAGTATTTTTAGATCTTTGAAAAATAATTGTTAGTAGATATGATGCTAAGCTCTACAGCAACAAATCATAAACTTTAAAGATCATTTCCATACAAAAAAGTTAATTCATGATTTGTTTTTTGTGGTAGGATTTTTCAAATAGCCTTTTTACAGAGTTACATGTAGGAATCTGACAATATAAGATGCTAGTAATTGCTTTGCTGGAATGTAATACTGATTCACATTAAAGTAGGCCAGTCAATACACAGATTATTATTTTTTCAATCCATATTAATTTAAGAGTTTTGAGAAGGGCATTATAATCTGATTGTCAAAACTGTAAATTCTGTCCAGTAAAATTAAATTATTTACTGGTCCAAATGTCGGATAACATTTGATTGAATACATGATTGTATTTTAACATTAAAACACAGTCCATTGAATTTTAGTTTTGAACAATAAATGCTGATTTGTTTATCTGACTGAATGACCAGAGTAATGCCTGGGACCATAGCAAGGTCTGTACTCTCCATGTATGAATTAAATTTAGTGGTGGTTATTTTCATTCCCACTGTGCTTGTAACAAACTATATTTTTTTGCAGATTTTTTTATATCTAAATGTATGATACAGATTGGAGAGTGTATGGCATATAGATTAAAGGAATAATTAATAATTTACATCTCACCATTTCTCTGTTCATTGTAAACCAGGATAACTCACTCACAAATGGGAATTTGCTTCAGAATATGGGTTAGATTCAGGAGTCTGGAATTAATTTATTTTGGAAACAAAATATGTATATATATTGTTTTTGTGAAAAAGGACCTGACAAACTATCCTTATGGTATTAAATACAGTAAAAGTAACTGGTATTGTTTGTATCAGCATTTATCAATACTTTAAATTTAACGATGGTCTTGTACAGTCGAAAAGAAATGATAAAGACCATGATGTCAAACTGACCTTGTGTGTTGAGTAACAGCAGGGTTAGTTTGGTCAGTCAGCAAATGGTCAAATCATTATATTCTGGTAAATATTCATTAAAATCCTAGTTAATATTTTGAAATTACTCATACACATGATTATAATATCTGTACTTGCAGTTTTCCTGCACAATTTCAGTCTCATTAATAATTACTGGCAAGAACTGAAGATTATTCATTATTTTTCTTACACTGATGATCATGCTAATTTTTGTGTATCTTATACAATTATTGATGACTGGTAATGTATTAGTCTTGTAATCAATAGAATCTCAGGAGGAAGCTAAGTTGGTTGCTTCTACAAAGATGTATGATCTTACTAGAATATTGTGGTTTGAATTGATACATGCTCCGTTCATGTATATAGTATCAATTAGTGACTGAGGCTTGAAAAGTGTGTATGAAAATAAATTATGGTATTTTTGATTTAATTTTGATTGATTTTCAATTCTAGGTTAAGTAACTTTAGATAGGTTTACTTTTAGATTAATACCTGATGACCAAATCATTTGCACTTTAGGTTAGCTCCTTACCAGTATTACTGTACAAGAATATATAGAATTGCTCTATACTTCATGATTATTACTGTTGATGAATGCCATGGAAATTCATTTGGTAAATGTAGACAGATGTGAAAATAAATCTGAAACCTCATTAGTGTAATACATTTTCTATAAGAACTATATTTTTAGAAAATGTCTAACTATTAACAAATGATTTTATGCAAAGAATATATCATTTCACTTCATCTTGTGAAATCATCAAGATTTGAAAGAATCAAAATTAATGTTAAACATGTTAACAGGAATAGGAAAATACAATTTATATTTTAGAAAAATGATCACAATTTAGGTGTTAGTGAAGATTGAGGTTAATATTCACCTTTGAAAAAACAAAAAAGATATAAAAATCATAAGCTGAAGACAATATATTATGGCAAAAAAAAAAAAAAAAAAATAGAAAGAAATAATATGTGACCATAGTTCATAAAAAAATACACACTTACCTATAAATTAGTAAACAATAAACCTTGAATGAACTCCCTTGATGGGTAGTTTACTGAAAAGTATATATGTTATATCAACATGAAACTTGATTGTTGAATACAATAATATATGGACTATTTAAATCTTTGTTAAAAGAATAATATGACCTTGATTTCATGGTTGAATGATCATGAGTAAGGCTATGTGGTAAAAGAAGAATATTTAAGGTTAATGTTTGGATTTAAGGTACGCAGAGTGACAGTTACTTCTAAAGGATCATAACACCCTCCTTAACAGTCTTCGCGGTTAACCACAGGCCCACCAGCCCAGGCTTGTAAAAATGCTGTCAGGCCTGTAAAAATCATCTCTACAGGCCAATAGAAACTAACTTAAATTTCTTCATAAAATTCAGCTTTGGACCTGTAGATTAAAAAGTTTATCATGAAGACTGCCCACCTGCCTTGAGTAGGTAACACTATCTCACTTGCATTTCAAGCTTTAATAGTATTGACCGAGTCTGAAGTCACTTCTTGGAAATTATATTATTGAATGTTACCTATACATGCTACAGTCTTTTAACTGTGTGTCACGACATAGATTAGTAAGTCTGATGGATATGAATAAAAAGGTTATAGAATATTGAGGTACATTTTCTAATCCTCTCTTGCTGATATCATCTTAGTAAATACGATCAATAAACAGGAGTCATCATGATTAAAATAGTAGTCCTTTTCACATTGAAGTTCAATTTTATTTTTATTATTGTATAATATTTGATTTATAAGGCTAATAGAGGGAATAATTGATCTTCTAATAATAGATTACCTTTGTTTATAACTTAGACTGCTTCTATTGTGTCAACAAAGTTTGTGATTCAAAAATTGAACTGGATTCGTAGGTGATCATGATATTTGAGATATTTTTCAATTCTAAACAGTAAGAATCTTTTTAAATATAAGAATTTTTCATAAAATTTTTTTTACAATGAATAAACCTTTACAATCAATAAATCCACACCGATTCATTGAGGAAAGGTTGTATTTGACATGTTGGATATCAAAGGTATTTATACATGATGTACAAACTATATAAAATTTAAATGTTAATTTATAACACAGGTAAAAACACATCTTTATAAGTAATCTCGATAACCTGTAAACTTTATATACATAATCATGAAAACAAGTGTTCATATGCTGGAACAGGATTTTACACATAATTATTCTTGACAGTATAAAGGACAGTTAAGAAGAATTTAAATAAGTTGTTAATAATGATAAGCTAAATTTAATACATGTTCAAGAGAATGTGGAATTATCTCCCTTTCTAACCACAGTTGAATTAAACCTATTTTTTCATTGATAACTGAAGAAAGTCATTCAGGTTGATCAACAGTGGTACATTGTATGTTAAGTCTTTTACTAAGTGAAACAAAAGCCTGCTGAAAAAATGTCTAATTTTAATTCAGGTTATGAAAACCCTTTGGAAGCATGACATTTATAAAGTGTTAATATTTCCATTTTTTCTGAAATATGTAAATGTGTTCCACAGGTTTATCATTGTAACTTTTGATGTGTGATTTTTTTTATGCATAAAAAAGAGATCTGTACGTTTTATTTTAAGGCATGATTTTTTTTTGTGCTTTTCAATTATCCATATCTATATGTATGTTTTGAATTAGGTAATTTCAATTTATTTCCCTCTATACACCAAGACAGATTTAGCATTTTCAATTACTCTGTTAGTCAGTGATACAAATATTTAAAATTTTATACAAGTGCATAGAAATTTTTAAAACTACACAAAAGAAAACATATCTTTAAGTATAAAATTTAAGAGTGACCTGATTTAATGTTAAACACATGACTCAGATAAATTCTTTTGATTTTCATATGTAAAGATTTAAGTTTGGTTTTTACACAGGTAAAAATTTGGGAAAAATTATTTGCTTATAACCCTTAAAGGTATATGATTTGACAAGAGAATATAGTGATATATTACACAGAATTTTTATGTTACATGCAAACAAGTCCCAATTAAACATGGAAGATTTTAGTATTCTGGGATAAAACTGTCATACAAACCTTTGTGTTTATGTAAGATTTCATAAAACTATATACCGGTATGTGACCTGGTCTGTTTTGGGATATTAATTATAAAACTACAATGTACTATAATTAATTGAAGTAATATGTATAAAATTGCTTGGAAATACTTGATTTTTGTTATGCACAATTGCAGTGTCTAAAAGGTAGTAAGAATTGGAAGATTTCTTGTACACCTTGAAATGCATTTACGAAAGATGATTTAAACAAAGAACAAAAAAAATGGTATTCCAATAACAGGAAGAAGATATAAAATGAACTATATTCAAAATGAATCAAAATTCAAAGTGAATCAAAATTCAAAATTCAAAGAACAATACACAAATCATATACATCAAAAGCAAAATGATGGAGAATGAATACAAAAATACATATATAGGTTAAAGAGTAAAAGGTCCAAATTAACTTCATTTTGAATACATTTATCATAGTCTATAACTTTAATTAGGCCATGTAAGTTATTTTATTACTTTGCATCTGTTGTCCATTTGTCTGTTCATTTTATATCGATAGAATCACAAATTTGTGCTGTCATTTGATGTTATTGTAGTTATGATGTTGCTTTTTCTTGTTTGACTGCAGAAACAAGGCAATAAATTTTGACCTAGTTTATAGAGTACCCAGAAATGTTGATGCTCAGCATTAAGGATCAGGATCGGTATTAAGGAAGTTTGCATTGATATTGGGGATTCTTCCTTAAAAAGATCCATAAGGGACCAAAAAAGGTGTCCCGCTAGTTTTGATGTGCAGCAACTATTTTTCATCTCATTTTGATGCATATAAAAATAAGAATATGTGATATGATTGCCAATGGAACAACTTTCCACCATAGACCAAATCATGAATATGTAAACAACTATCGGTCACAGTACGGCTTTTTTTTTCAGTGAAAGAAATCCCTGTCAGAAGTAATGTTATGACAAAGCAAACCCCAAAGCCCCTAATATGCCATTTGAGCTATTACCATGCATTGCTTGGTGTCGGTGTAGGTTCTTGTTAACAAGTTCATCCTTGTCATCATATTTTTTTCAAAAGTTCTCCTCTGAAACCAGCAAACCAATTTTAACTAACTCTGCCGGAATGATCTTTAGGGTATATTGTATATAGTTATTATGTTCCCCACCAACCAAACAATTTCGCCACCATGGCTAAAAATAGAACACAATAGTAAAATGCACAAGTAATTGTCTATTAGCTTGAAAGATAAAATAGAGAGAGAAATTTTGATGGGACAGATATGCTTAAAATGTCAAGATCTCTTCTTCCATTTAAAAAAATGGTCAGATGACCTCTTATCAGAGGTATTGACTCTAAATTTTTACCAATTTTAGCATATTTGCAATTATTGAAAAAAGTATAATATATATAGACAATGATGTAGAGAAACAGTAAGTAACAAAATTGTAAATTCAGAAATAATTGTGTGCATTTATTATTGCGATGTTTCAAGAAAGGACTAAAAAGCAACATTAATTATTGTAATTTCTGGATAATCTGCATATAGTAATATGTATCTGATATCAGAATACGAGTTCTTATTATTGTGATACTCACACAGTCCCATTTATACAAACCTTGCAATAATTTATAAATTTACAGTAGCGTGAAAGATTTTTATCAAGAAATTTTGCCATTAGGTTTCTTATAATGAAGACCATACACATTTTTATATCACTGTTTTACAGGCAGAAGGTACTTAAAGAGTTACAGTATGGCGCAGTAAAAGAGTTCTGTTTTGCTCAGGTAATTTTTGAATGTGCATGATGATGTCAACTTATATTTCATATCAAAAAGAGAACTTTTTGCTGACCTTGCATAATTAAGGGGCCATTGTGAACTATTGCCTTCAGTTTGTATCCACTTGAGATTGTCTTATATAAAAATAAGGAGATGTGGTATGATTGCTGATGAGACATCTATCCACCAAGGATCTATTTCAACAAGAGTTTCATTTACTTTAAAAAAACATAATTTTTCGAAATGTGCATCCGGTGCAGTAAAATTGGTACTTACTTACTTACTGCCGGTATGCCATTGGCATGTAGGGCAGCAACAAAGGCTTTGATTCCTTTGTTGCTGTTTCCGTAACTTAAATCTTTTTACAGGATAGAGTTGTTGGCCCTATGCCGAACCCCCTACTTGGAGGGCCAGGGATTTTTTGTCGAGGTTTCCTTCCTTTAGATAAGTTGCCGACCAAGCCTGACGAACCATTATCTGCCCGTTTTTATTTTGGAGTTTTCTTTCTCCTAGATAAATTACCTTCCAAGGTTAACGATCATCATCTAACCGGCTATTTACCCATAGTTGGGGCAAGGTTGATGAGAGTTAGGGCGTGTCCACACAACGGTGGACCTACACTCTGCATCTTTAGGGCCCTTGCTGCTCCAAGATCCCCTGCAGTGAAGCCTGAGATACTAGATCCCAGTTACCATGCGCTGTCGCGGGGAGGCACTGTAGAAGTCTTGACAGTGTAGAGGCTATGTACTGGCAGGAGAGGTCTACTCACTTGGCTCTCTCTTCGCTCACATATGCAGGCTAGCCAGCGGCAGCTGCTTTTCATAAAAAACAACCACACTAGACGCATACTACTGCCCTGTGGAACAACCACCAGCTCACTAAAAATGTTATTACTATCACTGGATCGATACCTCTGCCTTTGGAATAGTGCCAAAAGGTATCACCAGCCCAGTAGCCAGTACTTCTTACTAACATGAAAATATTAATATTGTTTTGTGAAATGTTCTGTTATAAAATTTAGGAAATCATTTTAAATTAAGTAATGTATCTCCTCATGTATGTTTCTGATTCCTTGCCCATGTTTGGCTTTACTTTTGGTACTTTCTGGTTTTATCAGCTCTTCAACATTTGTATTAGGTTTTAGGTTTTCAAATATTTTGGCATCAAGCATGATTAAGAGACATTAATTGTCAAAATGCACATCTGGTGCATTAAAATTGGTAATTTTAATGTTATATATAGGAGTAAGTATGATTAGTGCCATTATTTGACCCCTGGAATGCAAATATTATAAAATTCTTCAATCCTTTCAAAATTATGTCAATCTGTTTTGGGATAAATGAATATAATGAAATAATCTGGACATTTTAGGTTTAAATGTAGACTGTGATGTCACTATCACAATATGAACTTATCTAAATTGACATATTTGATGGTGATAATGATGATGATGATCATGGAATGGTGTTCAACTGCCTCCATGTCCAGAGGCAAATATTACATACATACAAGGACAAGAACATGTAAATTTTATAAGTCTATGAAGCCTGCTTTGTACTTTACCAAAACACTGAGCCAGTTTTTATCGTGCTAGACCACAAAAGTAAGTTTAACAGTCAGAAGAAGACATGTTACCTTTCCCAGACACATTATTCTGACTAGTCATTGATCCCAAATGCCACATATTTAGCGAGAAGCAGCAAATATAAATTTTCAAGGCTTTGGTTACGCTAAAGGGGTATGGAACCCTCAACATCCCTCTGACTTGAGATGAGCAAGTGACCAAAGGTGGTATTCTACATATGCGACCTCAAATGAAAGTTTTTTGGCAAAATAGATATATGACAAAGCTTTGCCCAAAAAAATATTTTATCTACATCAACATTTTTAATACAACTTTTAGCAGATCAAGCATGTTTTTGAGTATATCTTTATAATAAGAATATTTTGGAAGTTTTTGCAGTGTTTCACAAAAAGAATGAAATTTGATGATGATGATGATGGGGCTTTTTAACGTCCAGTGGGAAATTAAATGCATATTCAGAACAAGAATTTGTCAATGCAATATGATTCATTTGTGAAAATGAACCCTGGTTTATTCTTAATCCTCCTCAACTGGAGGCATGCATCAGACTACCAAGGAAGCTTATAAAATTTGAAAAACAGTGGAATATAAAAATAAAATTGAATACCAATGTCTTGTGAACATCTGAAGGATCTCATTTGATTGATTTATAATATGTTTTGAATATCGAATTTAAGGGGCCTAAAAAGTGGCCATATCATATCTTCTTATCTAACAAGCAAGATGACTACATTTCATGTGTTGCCTTGATAAAGTTGAAAGAGCAAGACTAAGGCATCCCATTTTTAGCGGTGGCAGTGTCAACAATTTGTTAAACTTTGTGATTAGGTCGGGCATATGGAAACCACTAATGGTATGTCAATGATATTTGGTATGCTGTGTAGCATTAGCACATCTCATTTCCATGGAGATTATTGGCCCCTTCTCCCCTCATTCATGGTCTGTTGACTGAAACTTTGCTTAGTTTAGATGTTCAAGTTTGTGATTAGATTAGTTGAAAGGGAACTACTTCTGATTAGTCAATGGTATTTGGTATGCAGATGTAATACCATTGGCATTTTTTATATCCACTGAGATTTTCTGGCCCAGAACCTTCAGTAATGCATATGTAAACTATGCAAAGTTAGGAGTTATCTGATACCATGCAATATGTAGTGATGCATGTGCTTCTGGTCCACTTTTGTTTCCACTATTGCTCTGTAAACACTTGACATCATGTACTTTTGCACCTCCCATTTCATTCCTGAAATCAGGATGATATGAACTTTGTCATATCCACACATGACATTACGCTTTGCTCATTTGAAACAAACTCATTTGGTAAACATGGCAATAAAGATTTGAAATGTATCCACTTCTCCCCTAATTTAAATTTATGAAACTTTCTCAAAATATTTACTTTATTATGCCATTATGCCCCTCATATTTTGTTTTTTTATCCAAATTATTTTGGGGGTTTCTCTTAGCAAATCATAGGCTTTGTGATTGCTTCATGTGGAGCAGGGAGTATAATTTTCTGGTCTGTGCAGTGTGTGCTCACAGTGCATCACACTAATTTGCAAAATGTTCTTTTTGTATTCGGGAATTAAAAGTTTTGACTATACACATTTAGCTTCTTAGAGTTTTGAATGATTAAAGATTATTCATTATAAATTTTCATAACTATAATCACAGATTGGTTTTGTAACATATAATGAATCATGCATGCAGTACACAAGATACATAACTTGAACAGCTCTGTGTTTTGATCTACTTACATAAAAAATTTGCCAAGATTAGTGCTTGATACATCCTTATGGAAGATTTGTGTAGTTTATATTGTAAAATGTATGAATAAAAGGAGATGTGGGGTAACTTACTGATTTTTTTCAAGACTGTTTTGTCTTTGGGTGATCAAGTTTGTTACTTTTTCCAGAAAAGGGAAATACTTAAAAGCAAACTTGAAAACTTTAATAGAGTGATATCTCAAAAAGAATACACCATGGTAGGTGATAGGGGCATTACGTGTTACCCTTGACCGTCCGTCTTTCCATTTTTCTGTCTTTTCATTCTTCCGTCTTTCCATCTATCCCATTTTTGTTGCAAAGCTTGAATGGGGCCATTCGTATCCTCAGACTCATTCTTCTTTTATATTTATTCTATGTTATTTTTTATAACTTTAATTGATAGTCATCTCCATTTGGTTATCTTTGAAAGAATTGTCTTTCTTGTAGGTAGTCCTGAGGGTAAAATTGTAGTTTTCATACACACACTGAATAAAAGATGTGAAGAGATGTTTTGATGTGATACAGTTAAATTCTAACTACATGCATGTACCATAGGTGTTGATGTACCATATGAATTTTGTTTTGAAAAAAAAGGAGAAAATTATATAAATATATATCTGATTGTAATCTGCCCTGTGCTAAGGGAACATAATTCTCACAAAGCTTCATGAGAACTTATTTTTGATTATGATTAGAATATTCAACATTTGATGTTTCTAATTCTTTATCTCTCTGTATAGTCTTATGTTATGTTTGATCATTTGTTAGGGGTTTAGTGGTAGTTCTAATGGCCTGAATGGGAGGAGGGATGTTAAAGTGGGTATTTGCTGCTTCTGCTCTAAAGATGTAGGCTCTAACCTAGACAGGTAGGCTTTGAACACTGTTATTTAGATACTGTCCAGGTATAGTGATATGCCTATCTGCTGATTGTTACTTAGTGAGTTTATACCTAAAAAGACTGATTCAGTGTTGTCTAACACAAAGAAGAGTTTTTATTCATGTCAGGTCAAGGAGAGTTTACTTGGAAGGTCTTGATAAAGCTGTTTTGGTCATGAATAATAAAAATGTTTTGTCCAGAATATTGTTAAATGTTTGCCCCCTATATATAGACATTGAGTACCACCATCATGTCTTTCTATGTTGTATGAAGAAATAGAAAAAAAGAAAGAATGGATATCTCCATGATAATTTACATATTACTTCATTGGTATGTCAGTATGTCATTGTATGTAACAACAAAAGAAATCAGGTTCAGTAATCCTAAGTTGTCAATTGAAATTAACATGATAACAAACTAACATGTAAAACACCAGGTTATCTTTTGAATGTATTGACCACCTGTCACAGGTAAATCTCTTTCACCTGCAATCATAGAAATAAGTGATAATAAGTTAGCCACATACTTAAAATAAGATGCATGCATGAAAACATGAATTGTGTGGAATTTCTGTCTATTCAGTTAATGAAGAAACTTCATTTATTTTAGAAGAATCTTGGAGAAAAATAGCGGGTAAAGGTAGAAACCTCTGACCCTATTTTTCTGTCTAAATACTGTTGACTTTTTTCACAGTTTTGTGATGGAAATGTTGAGAGAAAAAGCTATAGGTATTTCTACCCCAGGGAAAAGAATTAGCGTGATGCACCTTGAATTTATG